CAATCGTTCCGCTGTTTTGCGTCCATCGATGGCCGCATCGAAAGCTTGCAGTTTGTGGACACAAACGCTAATACTGTCGAGCGTTTCGATCAATTGGTCTCCCGTTTCGATGGACTGTCCGATGAGTGGAAGAATCGAGTGATTTATATTTCGGGCCAACAACTGGACACTAATCTATGGCCGACTGATCCCAATTGTCGGCTCATTGTTATGCATATAAAGCATATAAATCTTAAGCATTTGGATTATTATCGACAAAACGGTTTGACTTTTTGTTTATTATTTTAATTATATTTTGTTTTAAATTATTATTTTTGGTTTTTGTAGTTTTGATTTTGAATGGATTTGATGTGCGATTGGAGACAATAATTGCAGATTTCTTTAATGGTCGAGATTTGGCGTAATTTTGATTTGAATTTTCTGTGTTTTTGCTTTAAATGTTTATTTTTATGCATTTCTTTGTTTAATACTTTCACTTTTTGTTTTTCCATATTTATAATTGTGTTTTACTGTTTGTTTTAATCACTCATTCATTAAGACTTGTACTTAATTTGATTTTTTTTCTTATAAATATAAAAGTTATTTAGAAATTAATATGAATAAAATATTTGCTATTTTTTGTTGTCAAATAATTGTTTGAATTAATTTAATACAATATATGTGTTTAAGTGTAGTATTGTAGGGCTGTAGTGATGCCTAAAGATATGGTAAGTGAACAAATCTATTTGCAACTTGAATTTAAACTAATCATTATTACATCGTTTTTATTAAATTAAATGGATTTTGTTGTGTAAAAGTATTATTAAAGTCAACACTTTGTGATCAATGAAAAAACTGATCATTTATCGGAATCCGTGGCCCAACTCATCGTATATTACTTTATGTTTTATATTTGTGTTTAGTTTTGGTGTAAACCAATGATTATTTGTCTTAATAATGAATAAGTGTATTATTTTTGTATAATTAACACAAATATCAGTTTAAAATTAGGAGTCATTTACATTGGTTATACCTTTAATGGATTTATATAATCAATGAACGAATAAATATTTGCATTTAATTTATAATAAATATTTATTTTTGAATATAATTATATTGATATATAAATTTGAATTAAAAATCTAAATATTATTTTAATAACTAATAAAGTTATTGTTAAAACCAAGTGATAAGTATTTATACATATATTTTACATAAGGATATTGAAAAAACATTTAGAGATTCTGTTATTATTGAGTCTTCTTTACATAAATTCAATAAAATTTGTCAATTGTTTACTATATTTACACAAAATGTTAACATTATATATAAGTGTATAATATTTATAACACAATGTTTTATATGAAAACAGAGAATAAAATTTATAAATTTTTAACTAAAACATTAATAGTAATAATGATTATTTATTTAAATAAAACTATACATTGTTTATTAATTACATGTATTTATTTTGTGATACAATGCTCTCAAAACACATAAATAAATCCACTTTTAAATCGTCGCTTATATTTGAATTCAAAATTGAAAAACCATGTAAATTCAGGTGATGGAGAATCTTGGTGAAATAGATTCATTTTCATGATTTGTAATTAAAGTACATTTATAAAGTATATTTACAGTACACGTATTGTATTGTAGAATATCACTGATGGTAAAATATTTAAATACAATTCTGAATAAAATACTGTGTTTAGTACACAGTATGATATTAGGAGACAGAGAGATATGATAAATAAAGTTTAGTTTTCATTATATTTTGATATTAAATGGAAAGACATTTCGACTTATTATAGATTTCATAATTCATTTGATGGCCAAAAAAGAGACACACATTTGCGGCAAATATATTCACTATCTATTGCCGCGTCTATTGGCGTATCGTTTGCCGCATAATATCCTTCTGAAGCCGTTTCGGAAATCCGGACTAAATTTATGGCAAAAAGAAAAAGTTAGTGCAAAACAAACACTTTAAATGTGAAACGAGTGGTGACTTTGGAGGGCGTCATAAAAATTGGGTCATAAAAAATGATATCTCTTTACCTAAATATAGTGTAAATGATTGGATTCAGTAATGAGTTTAGATATCCTAACCATAAGAAAAAACTCGATATATATTTGTTTGGCTCGATTGGCGGGTATATCGGTATCAGTACTGCCATCACGAAGAACGGCGCCCAACACATCACAAACACACCTTGGTACGAGTTATCATATCAGGGTAATTAGAAAATAGTGCATGGTTAATTTAACTATAATTCAAACCTGTGATTATGGCCAGAGTTTTGGCCGCTTTTCGCTCCCGTTTGGACTCCAGTGACTCCTTATTAGTGGCCTTTTTGTGTTGAGCCTTAACTGTGTTTTGGGCCAGAGTTGAGCTGATCTTATGGTTAGAACTGGAGGTGGGATTTGGATTATTATTGGATCCATTGGTGGTTAAAGTGGTCCGATTGGGACTCAAGTGTTGCTTCATTTGTTGCAATTGTATCTCTTTGTCGTTATGTTGCTTACACTGAGTGTCCGTTAATTCATCGGTAGTTGTGTTCATATCGTCGTTAATGCTATTCATGTTTTGCGACGAAGGACTCGGCGCTAAGGGTCGGGGCGTTTGAGCGCTGCTCACCGGTGCCACCAGTTTGCCCGGCTTACGGCGGATCCGCTTTCTGGCCACCTATGCGTTCAATAATTGTTATTATTTTAAAGTTTAAGTACAAATATTTTTATTATGTAATATAAGGGAAGATTTGATTTTAGTTTTTACTGCTTTATTCATGCATTTTTGCAAACAATTATTATTAAATTCATTGCATGTAATAACAAAGCATAACTGAATACACAGAATATTCTGTGTCTTATATGCAAAATAATAATCTAATAATTTATGGACAAAAATAGTACACAAATTCAAAGTTCATAAGTCAGGTCCTAATTATGTCTTTCGGCGTAAATGTTATTATAGTTTTGTTTTTGCTTATGATTTGTGTCTTCAATATTTATATAACGCTATATATTCGCCACTTAAACAACTGTCGGCTGACTATTCACTTGTCTCTCATTCAATCTCAACGCTAATTAGTGATAATAAACTGGAAATAGTGTGACCAGCTTTGGCTTTTAAATGTGTAAAATGTGCATGTAACAGTTGTTTATAATGCGTCAAATGAATAATTAAAATATAAACTATGCAAATCTTTTATGTTTTATTTTTGATATTTTAATGCTTCTGAATAATATATTACCCTATTTTTATTTTTAAATAATAAAATACTTTATATTTCAACTAGAACAGGGGATCTCTGAGTGGGCATAATTGGGCATTGCTATAATGTATTTTCTATGGGAGCTAGTGTTGCCAGTCTAGCTTTTTAAGCCTACTAGCGATCTCCTGAACTAGAATAATCAGATGTATTTAAATATATGTTTTCCATTCGTAGCTAAAATAAACAATAATTCTTTTATGGTAAAAATAAAAATACTTAATGATTACTATAAATGTAATATACTGTACACATGTGCTGTACAGTATATTATTTAGATTTGGGTTGTCTGCAACTATTATACATGCCCTTAATTGAATCTGCCTGGTATGTTTGGAGGCAGATTAGTGTTGGAAAATATCACAATTTTAAGTTTAGGTTTCGTTTGGTTGGCTGTAATTTATTAACATATAATATTTAATTAGCTTGTAAAATATTTGCAGAATTTGCAGAGTTTATAAACTGTACATTTTATATAAAAATATTATTTAAAAAAACATTACATTTTCGGAAACCCAAACTTAAAATTGTGATATTTTCCAACACTAATCTGCCTCCAAACATACCAGGCAGGGATCTGTATAATAGTTGCAGACAACCCAAATTTAAATAAATATCAAACTAAACAAAACACGTGTAATGCATGCGTCCAGTGACCGGCCATTTGTTAACTGAACTATCTGATAATGTATTTTAATGCCTTATAATTTATAAGTTATAAACCAGTTTTGCATTAAACTCTTGTAATGGGAGGGGATGTAAACCCTATGTTTATTGGTTGGCATTTCAAGTAAATTATAGTAAATCATATTAATATAATAATAATCAATATTTAATAACTATATTTGTAATAAAATAATTCAAATAAATATAATATTAAAGACATTAACAATCCATACAAACAAACACTGAATGTGTATTTTAATTGATGTAAATTCAATGCACTTTCGCTTTGGTTATCATTATTTGTATTGAGTTTAAAATAGTTTTTAACAATTTTAATATAAAACTCTTGTTTCCAATGGTCTATAAGTCCGGCGCTTATTATCCACGAAATACTAATAAAACACAAAACAAAAATATTATTTAAAAAAACATTACATTTTCGGAAACCCAAACTTAAAATTGTGATATTTTCCAACACTAATCTGCCTCCAAACATACCAGGCAGGGATCTGTATAATAGTTGCAGACAACCCAAATTTAGATGGATAATACCAAGAGCGTATAAGTATGCCTGTTATAATAAACATGATATGTTTTGTTGGAATTAGTCCACAATAAATATTATAACACAAATGATGTCTATAATGAATATACGAATAATTTGGTGAATGTATTTAACAAGCATTGAAACAAACAGCAAAACACCAATCAGTGTCAGGAATATTCTGTACATCTATTAAAATAATGACAAATATTGACAATATTTGACGCAAAGACACACAAGAATAACACATTTCGCTAATTATACTAATTGTGAGGACCGACGAAAATAGACCAAAAAGTTTGTTTTATATATTATTAGTTATAATTACGATTTCTGTAACACAAAACTGTTCAATCAAATAAATGAATCAAATATTCACAATAATTGGACAGAATTTCTCGGAACCATTCATTTCTATCAATTCTTTTAAATAATTAATTAGTGAATACCAAACAAAACAACAATACATAAGATTAACTAAGTTATTATATAATTCATTCATAAAATTAATTATTTCAATGCGAATATTATTAGACTATACGAAAATTTACAAAACACTACAACTAATAATCTCAGTAATCATTGACTAGAAATAATATATTTACAAAATTTACAAACATCTCAATAATAATATGAATCGTAACGTAAATACGGGTTTCGGATGAAAATGTAAATAACAGTTGAATAACCATTCGCTCAATAAATACCTGAAATATTTTCCAATAGAGCGCTAATATGAAGACAAGTGGTCCGTAAAACGTGGCGATTGTGGCGAAGATCTGATATCCGATGTCTTGCGATAATAGGCATCGTTTCTCGATTTCAATTCTGTGCACAAACTCCGGATCTTTCCATCCGAAGACCGGCGCTATGGAGACGATGGCGGCCACTGTCCACACGGCGACGATCATCGATCCGATCCGTACGGCGTTTCGTTGGTGTATGTAATCCACGTTAGTTACGGCCCAATAACGATCCTATTTTGTTGTGACCCCACATAACGGGTGCCCATTCAGTGAGAAAGGCATGCGAGAGAGAGAGAGAGAGAGAGCAAATAGCAATGGCATTAGTGATTAAATAGCGGTAATAATTACAACATAGAAAACACAAATACAAACGTACTGTTCATCACATTTACTGCTATTTCTGTGTTTTACTGTTTCCTATTTTGTGTATAATTTCTTGTTTTTTCTTTACGACTCAATATATAACCTAATGGTTTGACACAAATCACTAATCAATCGCTTTGTTTTATCTTTAAACTAATCATAAGCTAATGATATGTACACTTGGGATGCATTTGACTTTTGCTTTTATTGCTATTGCAAAACGTGTTAAAACAAATGTACAAATGTATAACAAATCTGAATTACTGATACATGCCGTTTAACCGTCTGATTATATGGTTAAATTGCTCAAGCCTATTATATGGTGGTGAAGATAATAGACCAGTAATTTAATACATTTAATTTACATGAGTGAGATGGCAGCATAAGCGAGAGAGCAATGCTATGACTAAAAGTTACATCTTTAGTATACATCACAAAAAATATCCCAACTTTAAACACAGTGTTCTATGCTATGGTTTAGTGCTATGAGTGGAGTGTAGTGTATGTGTCTGTTGATGACATGCGCTGTATTGTGTTTTGCTGTTTACTTTGAATGAAAAGATGTTGTTTACAAATTATGTATTGTTATTATTGGCCCCATATTCCTATTTAAATAGGAATATGGGGTTATATTTAAACGTCATTTACTGACACCGGCGGAGGCCTTAGTTGATCATACGTTTTGTAGACTTAAAGCATTGCATTGAATGATAAGAATTGAATAAAAATTATGCTTAAATTGTATGCATATGTGTTTATCATTGCTTTAAAATATCAATGAATGGCAAATGTGGTAAATATTTAAATATATTTGTACTCAATTTCATAGACTTTGTCTTCAAATCCACACAATATTTGAGTCTTATTATTCGTAAACAAATTGTTTTTAATTGTATTACTTCTTGAGTATAATTAAAATATGTTATTATTAAGTAAAAGTTTTATTCAAATCATTTAAAAAGTTATACAAATTTTTTAATGATTTAAAATAAGTTTTATTTCTTATGAGAAATATTGAATTTTTATCTAATTAAATACAGAAAATCATTGAAAATGAATTAAACGGCTAATTAATATAATTTACATTAAATTCAGTTATTATTTATTACATATTATTTGAACAAATAATTATTTGCATAACTATTAAAAAATTAATATAAAAATAAATTTAAAAAATTTAAAAACCAATAACTTTACTCATTGTCATTATAATCTGCTCGTTTGCATTCAGGGCAATAGTAAACAACATGTGTTTTGCAAACAAGCTTTTCGCAACCTTCGCACCGAATTGATGCCCGTTTGTCGGCACTTCGCGGACAAAAATTACATCGTGTGTTATTTTTGTGAAGTTTGATTGGCTGTTGAGAACCTGAAGGCATTTCTTCTGTCTCATCACTTGAAACATTGAAAACATTTTCAATCAATTTTCGCAAATCGTGTGAAAGTGTACTTTGATTTAGTCGTTGTGTTGCCAGTGGTTTAACTAAATCAAACCCTAATTGTTTAATATATTCTCGTCTTTTTTAGATTTCTTGTCGTTTGGATAATAAAACTTATATATGATGTAACAATTGATAGCTGCGATATCTATAATATCATAAAACAAAGCCATAGGCCATCTACGAGTAACTCTGGCACACGTATACGACACGCAGAGATGATCCAAATTGTCAACCCCTCCTTTGGTTTTGTTGTAGAAATTAATTATTTCAGGTTTTCCGTTGTCTTCAATATTGACAGTTGTATGAAAACTACTCAACATTATTACAAGTTTTTTAGACTTTCGCTTATTTGGTATGTAAG